CTGAGTGTGTCGTCGTGCTCTCAAATGTGGCAAGATATAACAGAATAAAAATCAAACAACTCACCTTTGCAATTAACTCTGTTCTTTCATCTTCTAGCTTCTCAACAGATTCTTTGTATTTCCTAATTGATTCCTGCAATTCTTTCAATTTGCCATCTCTGTAAATAAATCGTACTTTTTGTAAGAAATGATGATAAGAAATGTGAATATAAAGACATTGCCTTTAGCAAAACAACAAAGGTCTGGACAGCCTTGGCAATATATGGCTATGGACAGCCTTGGCAATATGGCTATGGACAGAATTGACAATATGGCTATGGACAGAATTGGCAATATGGCTATGGACAGAATTGACAATATGGCTATGGACAGAATTGACAATATGGCTATGGACAGCTTTGTCAATATGGATATGAACAGAATTGACAATATGGCTATGGACAGAATTGGCAATATGGCTATGGACAGCTTTGTCAATATGGCTATGGACAGCTTTGTCAATATGGCTATGGACAGCTTTGTCAATATGGCTATGGACAGCTTTGTCAATATGGCTATGGACAACCTTGGTAATATAGCTATGGACAGCCTTGGCACTATGGCCATGGACAGAATTGGCAACATGGCTATGGACAGCCTTGGCAATATGGCTATGGACAGCCTTGGCAATATAGCTATGGACAGCCTTGGCAATATGGCTATGGACAGCCTTGGCAATATGGCTATGGACAGCCTTGGCACTATGGCCATGGACAGCCTTGGCACTATGGCCATGGACAGCCTTGGCAATATGGCTATGGACAGAATTGGCAATATGGCTATGGACAGAATTGACAATATGGCTATGGACAGAATTGGCAATACGGCTATGGACAGAATTGGCAATATGGCTATGGACAAAATTGACAATATGGCTATGAACAGAATTGACAATATGGCTATGGACAGCTTTGTCAATATGGCTATGGACAGCTTTGTCAATATGGCTATGGACAGCCTTGGTAATATAGCTATGGACAGCCTTGGCACTATGGCCATGGACAGAATTGGCAACATGGCTATGGACAGCCTTGGCAATATGGCTATGGACAGCCTTGGCAATATAGCTATGGACAGCCTTGGCAATATGGCTATGGACAGCCTTGGCAATATGGCTATGGACAGCCTTGGCACTATGGCCATGGACAGCCTTGGCAATATGGCTATGGACAGAATTGACAATATGGCTATGGACAGAATTGAAAATATGGCTATGGACAGCCTTGGCACTATGGCCATGGACAGCCTTGGCAATATGGCTATGGACAGAATTGGTAATATGGCCATGGACAGAATTGGCAATATGGCTATGGACAGAATTGGCAATATGGCTAATGACAGAATTGGCAATATGGCTATGGACAGAATTGACAATATGGATATGGACAGCC